TACCTCCTCCTCCTCTCTTTCTGACTCTACCCCCCCTTCCTGCCCCTCCAGTACAACCCCCCCCCCTTAGTCCAGCCCCGTCAGGTGTGTCACACGCTACCCCTCCCCCCTCGGTAGCCCCTCAGGTGCCGTCCCCTTCCCCATAGTCCTCCCAGCCTTCAGCAGACCCTGCGGGAGCTGGTTTTTGTGGCGAGGACCCAGGATGTGCTAGCTCTAGAGGTGCTGGAGTTGGAGCAGAGAGCGTACCTGTGCGAGGTCCTGGTTCGGGGGGTGCTGGAGTTGGAGCTGAGCGCGTGACTGCAGGAGACTCTAGTCTTCGGGGAGCTGGTGTTAGTGGAGCTATCCCAGGGGGTGCTACGTCTGGGGGTGCACCCTCTGCTGGACCTGGAGAGCCTGGGATGGGCCCTGTTACTTCTGGTGGTGCTGGCGCTGGGGGTGGTACGACTGGTTCTTTGGAGAGTGGTCGTGGTAGAGGGTCAGCAGGGTCCGCAGCTAGAGGAGCAGCGGTCGCAGCCGCAGCAGCAGCCGCCACCTCCTCCTCCTGTCTCTGGCCTTCGGACCCTCAGACTCCCCTCTCCTTCTCCTCCCTGGTCCTTCTCCTCTCGTCTCTGGTCCTTCGTTTCCTCCCCCTGACCCCTCCCCAGCTGTTTTCCCTCCTTCTCTGCCTCCGTTGTTACCTCCTCTTCCTCACACTCGGCCCTCGCGTCGCTCTCCTCGTGCTCGTTCCTCGTCCCCTGTTCCCTTCTATGACCTTCGTACTGCCCTGTTTTGTTCTAGTCCGCCTTGTTTGTCTCCTTCTATACTTCCTTCTCCTCGTGAGTCGGCGCTCACTGCTTCCCTCTCTACTCCTGTCACGGACTACTACCGCACATACCGTCCTGTTCTCTCTCGTGTTCTCGCCTCCATTATTACCGACCCACGTGCTTCTCTGCCCTCTGTCTCCGCTCTTACTGCCGCAGTCATTGAGTTTGCCTCTACTCGCCGCCTTGACTACGCCTCTAGTCTTGTGGCTGCACCTCCTACCAGTCCTCTGGCCATCGGGGGTGAGTCGGCCCTTGGCTGTGACGCCCTAGAGGACAAGCAGTTTGAGCTAGAGTTCCTAGCAGCCGCTTCCCCTCATCTCTGTGCCATGCTGCTCGCCCCTGAAGGAGACCCCGACGTCTTTGACATACCGACTCCTCGCACTTACGCTGAGGCAGTGTCAGGGCCTTGGGCCTCTCAGTGGAGAGCTGCCATGGACTCACAGATGGCCTCCTACAGATCCACAGGCACTTACGTCGACGAGCTTCCCCCCCCTGGGGCGAACGTAGTCGATGGCATGTGGATCTTCAGGGTGAAGCGGCCATCAGGATCTCCTCCGGTCTTCAAGGCGCGCTATGTGGCTAGAGGTTTCAATCAGCGCGAGGGAGTTGACTTCTTTCAGACCTTTGCGCCTACCCCGAAGATGACCACTCTTCGGGTGTTACTACACGTAGCAACACAGAGGGACTATGAGTTACACTCTCTCGACTTCTCTATTGCTTTCCTTCAGGGTAGCCTACACAAGGAGGTCTGGCTGCGTCGTCGCTCTGCCTTCACTGGCACTATCCCTCCTGGGACCCAGTGGAGACTAAGGCGACTGGTCTACGGTCTGCGTCAGGCTCCTCGTGAGTGGCATGACACCCTTCGTTCTACCCTGTCTGACCTCGATTTCGAGCCGTCTTCTGCCGAGCAGTCGCTGTTTGTTGGGCATGGCTCCACACCGTTCTTTGTACTGGTCTACGTCGACGACCTGGTTTTTCCCACTGCTGACAGGGCTGCTTTGGCTGACGTGAAGCGCCAACTGCAGAAGAGACACACGTGCACTGACCTTGGTGAGCTGTGCCACTACCTTGGCCTGCAGATCACCAGGGCAGAGCCGCTCACACCATTACACTCTCACAATCACACATGGTGCAGCAGGTCCTTTAGCGGTTCGAGCTTCAGCACTCCACAGTACAGCGCACACCTCTTGCTGTTGACCACAGACTCACTGCACCCTTCCCTCACTAGTGGTCCTTATGCAGAGCTTGTGGGCTGCCTCATATACCTGATGACTTGTACTCGCCCGGACCTCGCCTTCCCTCTCAGCATCCTTGCTTGCTTTGTTGCGCCAGGGAGACACCGTCTAGTTCACTGGACAGCTACTGTGAGGGTGGCAAAGTACCTAGCGACGACATCAGGCGTGGGGCTGGTTCTTGGAGGGCAGCAGTCTGTTGTACTTACTGGACACTATGACTCTTCTTACGATGACAGCGCCGAGACTCATAGGTCCACTCAGGGGTACTGCTTCAGCCTGGGCTCTGGAGCTGTTTCGTAGAGGTCCACGCGTTCCTCCTCAGTCTTGACCTCCACTGTTGAGGCTGAGATATACGCTGGAGCCATGGCTGCACAGGAGCTGCGTTGGTTGACCTTCTTGCTCACCGACCTTGGTGAGCGGCCGAGCTCTGCACCGACCTTGTTCACTGACAACAAGGCGTCGATTCTCCTCTGTCGAGAGCCGCGACTGGAGAGCAGAGTGAAGCACATCAACTGCTTGCTTTTTTTGTACGTTTTATATATACCTCTGTGAACTCTTGAAATGGCCTTGTGACTCTTTTGCTTGTGCTTGGAGTTTGTGGTGACGTTGTGATCCACCCTGAGCTTTGTTTCTCTGTGACTGGTCTTATTTGGGGGTGTGCGAATGTGGGTGTGTCAAATGTTGTAGTCTTAGTGATGTGTGTTATAGGGGGTACAACTGTTTGGGTTAGGTTTATGTACCCCAACCAACCTTAGACAAACCAACACTTTCATTCTTGACAGTAACATGCGCGATTTGGCGGGCGAACGCTGTAACAAGGGACAGGCAGAAGATGGACCGCCCGCCCCGACTGCAGTGGACGTGCTGCTGGGCGGGCTCGAGGTCAACAAAGTGGCCGACGCCCAGCAGCACCCTTCGGCGCCTGTGGCGCCAATGACACCTACGGCGCAAGTGGCGACAGCTGCTGGCGCGACACACGCCACTGACGCTGAGCACACGCCAGCACCCGCGGCTGGACCGTCGTGTCAGCGCCAGAGGAGGCGGACGGCGGACTCCTCGTCTGACGCGACGACCGCCCCTGCATTGACACAGACGTTGACCCCGGACCAGCTCAACGCGCTGCTGTCCCTTCTACAGCAGCACCCCGTCAGCGTTACAGCCGCGAAAACTGCACTACCCGCTGCATCTGCGTCGGCTAAAAAAGAAAATGCGAAAAAAGGAAAAAGGCACGCGGGGAGCAAGGACGAATCGGCACGACAACGACGTAGCGACAGCAGCACCCCCTGCTCCAGCGGTCGACAATGACACCAACGACTCTGAAGATGAAGCCGGTGAGGCTCCAGTCAACAATGTCAATTTTAATGGCACGGAACACCTTCACCCCCTCCCTTCTTCTAACCTCACATTTTTGGCGGCGACATTTGTCAACGACTCCGTGCGAGAGCAAGCGGAGCTGCTGGAGGACTTGCGCGCGTACCTACTGCACGCGGAATACAAGGCGCAGTGCGGGGACCCGGCAGGCGGACTCGAACTCATCTCGCACGCTCTCAACCTCATCTCGGGGCGTTTCGAGGTGCTTCAAGTGGAGGACGCCTCCATATTCCGCACGGCGAAGCACTTCAAGTTGTACCAGCAGAAGAGCCTGTTGACTTCTCGACCCTTCAAGAAGGCGGTCGACCGTGCGGCAAGCGGAAATGCTCGTGTTAACCGTGGCGGAAACAATGCGCCGTTGCCGTTCTTACCCAAGCAAGCCGCCCCGCCCACAGCCAATTTCCGCGGGTTTCGGGGCTCGTGCTTCCACTGCGGCCAGCCGGGCCACGTTGCAAGTGCCTGCCCTAGGAATGGGCATGGCGGCCAAGGACCCGCTCCGGTGGTGTAGGAACGGGCCATGGGACTAGGTGCTGGGGCGCTAGGCACGGTGCACTCTTAAGTCCGAAAACCGTGGGCAACCCTAGGGGTTTGTGATGGCAAGAGGCCAGCCCTAGTGATGGGAAGGAATAGGCTTTGGGCCTAGGATAGGGAAGGGGAACAACAACCCCCTCGGTCCCTTGTAGTTGGCCACGCAGTGGCATGATGCATGCTAGGAAAGCATTGCTATGTGTGTTGGTTGATTTTATAAAAACTACCTTCTAAAAAGCCTACTATTTTTGGCAAAGAGACTCTACGACAATCAAGAGGAGGAGCAGAGGGAGAGAGAGAGAGAGAGAGAGAGAGAGAGAGAGAGAGAGAGAGAGAGAGAGAGAGAGAGAGAGAGAGAGAGAGCGAGAGAGAGAGAGAGAGAGAGCGAGAGAGAGAGAGAGAGAGAGAGAGAGAGAGAGAGAGAGAGAGAGAGAGAGAGAGAGAGAGAGAGACCCCTGGGTCCTAGTCCTTAGTCATTTTTAGCCTACACCCTTAGCCTAGCCTAGTCCTTAGTCATTTCCGCCTAGTTCCCTAGTATATAAGGGCAAGGAGCCCATTCTCCTCCTCATTGTTTGGTGGGGAGTTCATTCTCACTGCAAAAATCGGCTGCAAGGCAACAGCTGCATTGATACAAGCACACCATACAAACATGCAGCACTAGTAGGGCCCTAGCAACGAGGCCAAGGTAAGTAGGATAGCCGGGGGCGGGAGAAGATGGGGAACAAGAAGGCACAGGGTAAGGCACATGGCAAGGCACAAGGCAAGGCCCAGCAAAGGCAGATTGTCACACGTGATTCAGCACGTAAAACCGCCGCCGAAGCCAGCGGAGCAAGGACGCGAGCGCGGGCACAAGCTGGAGGGGAGCCTATTCGGCAGCCGTGGCTACCCTGCGGAAAGCCCTCGCGCCCGGCCCCTCGTTCTCGTCAGGGCGATCGGACTCCAGAGGCAAACGGAGGAGGCGCCAAAGACCCTGCGCCGCAGCTTCACGCACAAGGCCCTGCTGGGGCTCCGTCAGCTGGGGATCCCGGAGCACTAGATTCCGCGCCTCCAGACCAGCATGCAACTACTCCAGTGCGGTCGCAACATGGGAGAGACATTCGCCAACCCCGATCATGCGCCGCTCCCAGCGAAGCACGTCCAGAACGAAATCGGACCGGATGTCCCAGTCCCGATCCCCCAACGTCCCGGACTGGGGAGGAGACTCCCACGAATCGCCGTTCCACCACGCCTCGTCGTCTTCAGGATCAGGTGCGTCGGGAGGAAGCGGAGGAGAATGGCAACGAGGAGGAGGGAATCGAGCGACAGGGGAGGGGTCGAGTGGAATCAGAGGATGTAGCCGCTGAGGAGGATCACCAGGGGAACTTGTAGACCAGATGGGCGGCACACCGGCAGGAAGCACAAGAGGTGCCCCAACTGCAGCCGGTGGGGCGGGAGGAGGTGGAGGAGCCAATGGCGTCGACGGCGCCGACTCAGCAGGCACAGACGATAGCTGCTGGGACGACTGGAGAGATGCTGACGGACAACGCCGCGGCGTCGGCACCAAGAGGCGGTGACTGCGCGTCGGACACAGGGGCCCGACAATCTCTCGCTGGACAGTGGGAGGGTGTCGAGGCGGACGGCGACGTCGGAAGGAGCCGCCACGAGCCCGGAGATGTGGATGGGTCCGCCCGCGGGGAGAGCGATAGACTGGCTCGTGACGACGGGGGGAGGAGCAGGGCTGGCGCCAGCTCGCCCTGGGCCTGTGAGTGGCTGGGAGCAGCAGGAGAACCAACCGAGCGGTCCGACCGAGAGGAGGATCGACGCTTGCCAGTCATCGCCACGGGGCCTGCAGGCACAGGGAGGTGAGGGAGAGGAAAATCGTGTGGCGGAGCATCTCGAGGAGAACGAGTACATGGAGGAAGAGGGGATAGCGACGGTGACGGCAGCGTGGCAAAGTCGGAGGAACGAAACTAGCAGGCAAAGGACCTTACGCGAGCGGGCGGAGGAGAGGGCGATGGGGCAGCAGCCGCGAAACGCGGCGGGACGCACGGCCACACGGGGACGCGGGAGGGGCCGGGGCAGGGGGGGGCGGGTGGGGGAGTTGGTGAGATCCGTAGCAAGAGAAAAAGCCAGAACCGGAAATTGGCGGGAACGGCATGGGAGGCCAGAGGAGGAGAATGGAGAACCAATGAATGTCGCCGCAGAGGAAGAAGAGTCAGAATATATGGAAGAGGAAGAGGCTGAATCGGAGGAGGTGTCTGTGGAGGCCGAAGACGGGATCCCAGCTGGCAATGAGGGCAGACGGCGACGTGGCGGACGCCGAGGACACGACGGAAACAATCCTAACGGGGCTGGACAGGTGGGCGAATCACCAGCCCAACAGACTAATGAATCTGCCAGCAAGGAGCGCTCACCAAATGACATCGCGGACGATGATGACACATGGCGGGCGGTGGAGAGTTGGGACCTAGACCCATTGCGAGTCAGTTCCCAACCATTCTTGGTCAGGAAACTTCCCCCGGAAGAACTGAAGTCGTACAGTCACTGCCTGACGATTCCCCTACTGCGACTCTCGAAACATCCGGGCTGCATGGGCGCGTGGAGGGTGCTGCAATTCCTGCCTCGGCTTACGCTGAGGGCGAGCATAGAGAAAGTTCCAGGAAACAGCCTCGACGCAGTGAAGAAAAGACTTCGACAATTTCGAGATGAAGATTGGGGCTCACTGTACCTCCAAGCCTGCACAATCCCCGACATTTCCCAACCAAGCAGACACGAGCCTGACGCAGAAGGCATCTGCGCAAGGGTAGAGGGATTGGTCCGGAAGTCCAACTTGGCGAAAGCTGTGGCAGCATTACGAACCACTCCGTTGACGGAGCCGTCGCAACAGGCACTGGAAACACTCCGGGCGAAGCACCCGCGAGCGGAGATGGCGATACAGGAAGGGCTAGGGGGTTACGGCGAAACAACACTCGCCATTGGCACAGAATCGTTCCGCGACATCTTGGCGAAGTGCCCGAACGGAATAGGAGCAGGCCCGTCAGGCACTTGTTTCGAACACCTACGGGACCCTGCTCTAACAAACGGGGAGGTATTCTTACTGCTGCACCAGATAGTTAATAACCTACTCAGCACGTACCTGGACGCGCCGCTGAGGGAGCTGCTGCTACCATCGAGGCTAATCGCACTGGAAAAACCTGACGGGGGAGTAAGGCCGATAGCGATTGGGGAGGCACTCCTTAGACCCACGGCAAAAGCGGCGCTACTGGAGCTGTCAGGGGAGATTCGCTCACACTTCCTACCAGTACAATACGGCGTGGCCGTACCGGGGGGAGCGGAGTGCATAATACACACGGCTCGTACGCTGCTGGCGGAGGACCCGACGCGCACGATATTACAGCTCGATATTGAAAACGCTTTTAATTCGGTCGAACGAGGGAGTTTTCTGTCGACACTGCTTTGGACCGGCGGACTGAGCTCACTGCTGCCATTCGCTAGAACCCTCTATGGCACGCCGTCGAAACTACTACTGGACAGAGGCTTCACTGTCAGCACCATCGACAGCGCCCGGGGCGTCAGGCAAGGAGACCCGCTCGGCCCCATGCTATTCACTGCAGCCATACAACCGGCCCTGTTGGAGGCGGCGATGGCAGTCCCGGGCGCGACAGTGATGGCGTACGCAGACGACATCACTGTCATTGGCCAGCTGGCGGCCGCGACAAGGGCGTTCAATATGATAGTCCAGGGACTCGTCGGTCTAGGGCTGCGGTGCAACCTCACCAAGTCGTCGGCCTGGAGCCCCACGGGGAACACAACAGACCTGCCGGAAGGATTGGCGGCGGCGGTGGACGGAGTGCAAGTCCTTGGGAGCCCCATAGGCACAGTAGCATACTGCAGGCGCACGCTTCGAGCATCGCTGGAGCGGATAGCCCTCCCGCTGAGCCTAGTCAGCAAGCTCCACCCACAACACGCGATGCTGCTCCTGTCGCGCTGCATATCGCGCAGAATCTCCTACCTCCTGCGCACTACGCCGGCGGACATTCTCCCCATCCGGGAATGGCGGGGGTGGAGCGAGAGGCTGCTGTGGACAGCACTGAGGGCGGCCCACATCAATGTACCCTCCAAGGAGCTAGAACAAAGCCTGGTGTGGAGGCAGGCGACGCTACCGATCGCGCTGGGCGGTGTGGGGCTGATAGACCCATTGTCAGAGGCATCGGCGGCATACCTGGCGACACTAAGGGCAGCACAGATGCTGCTGCAGCAAATGCCGCCCTCGCCAAACCACCAGCTTTCGCAAGTGGCGTCGCTGGTGTCACCGCTTGGGGAGGGAGTGGCAGGAAGGGAAGGGGAAGCAATACGGGACCTGCGGAACAGACTCCCCGAGGAGGCGCGGGAGCTGCTAGGGGAGCTGGGTGTCAGCGGGGGAGGACGGGGACGCCTGCAGGAGCAACTGTCGCGCCATATCAACCTGAACCGGGCAGCGGAGCTGGTGGGCGACACACGGATGGATAAGCCGGGGGAAGACAATGGACACGTGGTGCGGTTGATCAGCCTGCAGGGGGTAGGCGCAGGGGATTGGCTCCACGCCATCCCCACACGGGCAGATCTGACGTTCTCGCCGGGTCAGTTTGCCTTGGCTCTGGGGTTCCGCTTGGGACTGGCGCTGCCGGTGACGGAAAACTGCCCGTGCCAGGGGGAGCGAGGGGAGATTGGGGACCTGAGCCTACCGAACCATCTGCTGCGGTGCGGGGAGGGGAAAGAGAGGACGAACACACACAACAACCTCCTGTATACGGCGCTCCGCATGGCCAGGGAGGCGGACTACCTTACCCTGTATGAGACCACGGTCTACTCGCAACCAATCAACCCCAAGCGAGCAGACCTGGCCATCAAGGACCGGGAGTCGGCCGAGACGTATGTGACGGACGTCACAGTGACGGACCCGGTCCTGCAGCGCCAGGACACTAGGGCAGTGAAGCCCCCGGGCTGGGCGGCGGAGGATGCGGCCAGAACCAAACGAGGACTGTATGAGGGACGGCCAGATTTCGTGGGGGTGTTGGGGCTGGCGGTGGAAACATATGGAGCCCTAGCGCGCGACACACAGAGGTTCCTCAGGCTATTAGGCAGACAAGCGGCTAAAAAGAAATTTAGGCAGGGGAGGCTTACCACTGTCGCCTCCAAACTCACAGCTCACTACCGCCAGCGCTGGTCGGTAGCGCTGCAGAGGAGCCAGGCGAACGCATTCCTGGCAAAGTCTAACCGGGCCATAGAGAGTGCCTACCCACAGGCGGCGGCTGACCCATGGGAGCCCCGCCTGGGGGACCTGTGCCAAGTCATTGAAGATGACTTGGACTGGGGGCCAGCCCTGGAGGCGTGAGGGGCTGAAGTAAGGGGGCCCCGAGGCTGAGGTCCCTAGGTGCTAGGCTCACGGCAGGCCACGGCTAGCAGACCCAGCTAGCTTAGTTTTTATATGTTGATACTTGCTTGCATGAGCACTTGCTGGCCTACATGATACCTAGACGGTATGCTAGGGGATTGCTTTGCTGCTTTATCATGTATGGCTTGTACCCCTTAATAATATTAATGAAGGACCGCTTGAGAGAGAGAGAGAGAGAGAGAGAGAGAGAGAGAGAGAGAGAGAGAGAGAGAGAGAGAGAGAGAGAGAGAGAACGAGAGAATGAGAGAAAACACAATGGACAAGTGTGTCCATGGCCCTAGGCATCAGCCCCCATGCACTAAGGGCAGGCACAACCACGTCCCTGGGGCACCACTCTGACCACATTTCCGGGCGGCCTCAAAGAAGCTAGCGCAACCATGTCAGAGCCGCTACAAGGATCGTCCAGCACGTGACGGGAGATCGAAGGCGTCCTTTGGGCGCTCCAAACATACGCGAACAAGATCAAGCAAAAACACGTTCTCGTGCGGGTGGACAACCAGGGCGTATTCTTGATCCTTCGCAAAGGCGGCTCTCACAGCCCCGACCTCACAACGGCATGCAAGAGCATCATCCCAACATGCATGGAGCTCGGCACACGCTTGATCATTGAATGGATTCCGTGCGAGCTCAACACACACGCCGACGAGCTTTCAAAAATGGTCGACCACGACAATTACGCGCTGAAAACGCCGTGGTTCCGCATCTTGGAACGTCATCGGGGGCCCCACTCCATCGACCTCTTCGCAAACTCCCGCAACACCCAACTGCCGCGCTTCTGCACAAAGATTCCCCACCTGGAAGCCATCACAGTTGATGCATTCTCGATCGTGTGGACACCCGAAAACAACTTCGCCTTCCCCTGCCCCAACTGGTCCCAACCGTCCTCCATCACGCATTACCACCCATGCATCACTCACACTGATAGTTCCGCACTGACCAGGAGCAAGCTGGTGGCCACTTTTGCAACCCTCCACGTGCATTTGGGCTCCACACATCCACGCGCACATCCCTCTGACACACGGAAGCCAATTCCTAGAAGCAGGGTCCTATTCCACTGCTTTTTCGGGCATGGGACTACCGCACAGCCCAATTATCGTACTGAGAGTGGCATTCGACTAATTCAAAATGTCTACGCCTTGTGTTCAGATTTGCTCCCAAAGTTACACGACCAACTGATTAACATGCTCGCGCAGTCCCGCGCCGATTCTACGATCCGGACATACGAACCATACTGGGCCAAGTTTCGAGCTTTCTGCACGAACGATGAGAATAATGTTTCGAACCATACCCATTTGTAATGAGAACGATGCCAATTGATAAGAATAAGAAAGCAAGCTTTCTCAATTTGTTGTTGTGAACCAGCAAGAGTCAAAATGTGCAACCTTAAAAAGGTTACACTCT